CCACATGCTCGCAAAGCTGAGGGGAATGGAGCTCAAGTTGGGGAGGGGAAGGGATTGGGGCCCAGGTTGGGGTGCTGAAGGTTCCCTCAACTGAAAACGAAACTACGCCTCTGCTTGGAGGTGTAGTTTCTTTTCAACGCGGTTTTCAATGCCACCTATACATATATATATATATATATATATATATATATATATATATATATATATATACATATATATATATGTATGTATATATATACATATATATACATATATATATATATATATATATATATATAGGTGGCAAGACATCTTCATCATTATAACTTGGTGTCAGTGCATCACATCATTATAACAGCGGTGACAGTGCACCTTGAAATGCACCAGATATAGTTTGGCATGATGAACTCACAGCAAGCATTTGCACGTGACAAGAATTTAAAGCGAGCTGACGAATCTCAGCGTAGGTCACGCTGTTCATGTCTCCCGCTTTGCAGCTTGGCAGCCATTTTCTTCCGACAACCATTGGGGTCCGGCCACACATCAGGACAGCCTTTCGGCGCATGCGCGAGACTTCATAAACCTTAGCAAGCAACAGGTGTGGCACATCGCATGTCTCTAACGAACTTCTTTGAGTGAAATGCCGCATGGTGGTTGCAGTCAAGTTTCACTATTGCCACAAATTTGTGGACTGCCTTTTGCGGGATGATGGAGATTGACCAAAATACAACTCTTCTACGCCAAATACGAGATGGTTACAACGAGTTTGACGCAGAGGCGTATTTTAGCGAAACAACTGGATGGAGGATGGGACTGAGCAGTGAGATAGGACGAAACTTAGCCCAAAAATAAGTCAACGACCCAGTCTCTTCCTGGATTAGACCCAGTTATTCTCAGAGTTAGAGGCTGGAGCCAAGCTATTACACCCATTGCGTGACGGACATGTAGATCTTCTACGGTGCAGTTTCGCCAGTCTCGTGAAGAAAGCTGGTGGTGGGGGGTGGTGGTGGGGGGGGGGGGGGGGGGGAAGGACGATAGATAACCTAGAAATGTGCCAAATCCGGTTGAGGACAAAGTTCCGAACACTGCTTTGTCAGCATGCATTTAGTGAACATCTATAAAAACGCCTCTACGTACGTGAATTGTTGCTTTAGCACTCGGGGGGACAGAGCTGGACATGGATATTAGGACAATCCTCGGGAAACACAGCGGTCCTGAATGATAGATTCAAGGCGATAGCTCGCGTTTCAGCGTAATCGGGTGCTGGGATGCGATGTAGCCAATGGTCCAGCGCTTACATTGCCAATAATAGAGCGGAAAGCGTTTTTACAATATAAACACTATGTGTCGTTGAAATGGATTACAGCAGCTGTCCAATTCATTACAGAGCAGCATTAACACCGTAAAAAGCACGAAATACTGATAATGTGGACGAAAGTTGGGTAGTTCTCGCGTAGCATAGATACTTGCATAGATCCAGCATAGGCCCTATTTGTGCACGGCCCTCTGGCCACGGCTAGTGTCGGTCAGCTGGCTTTCGCCCAGTAGCCCGGGCCGAACCGCATCGTCCTGACCCCTCGCGTACCTTTCGCTAGTCTACATCCATTGGTGAGAACGCACTGGGCAGAAGTGCGCCCAGTGAGGAGCGCCACCAGAATCCAACTGACATGGCAACTGAACAGCAGCTTTTCAAAAAGCCTTTAGCATAGCAAAAACAACACCGCATTGTTTTTGTATTGACAAGATATCACAATACCATGTTGGTCTCCATTCATAGTTTCTGTACAATGATGGTGTGCAGGGATTGGCACCAGTCGGAAATCACTGTCATGAAGCCGCGAGTGCTAAGCGTGTGGCCAGCATACGAGCTCGTAGTGCCAAATTCCCAGCCACACCGAATAGCTGCCCTGCAACAGCTACCAAACTTTCAAAGGCAAACACCCGCAATATCCTGCCAATAGTCAACGGCAATAGCCCCCGCCAGTGCGATGCCTGGACACTTTGACAAGTCTGGGCACTTTGAACACGCCTGTTCTACCGGTCCCCAGCTGGTTGCGCATCCTGCGCCGTACCCTCCTGGACGCAGCCCTTCTCGCGGCCGGCCAAAAACAAACGAGACGGGGCCGGTGCCGTACGGGCCACAGGGCCAACGTCAGCTGATGCACCAGCTGGGACCAGAATTCATGCCTCGCCGATACACTACTGTACTGTAATGAAGACGACAAGGCGAATGCCAGCACCCGCACGGTACATGAGCATCTTCACCTCCTCCGCCGATCATGCTGGAAACCGAACGCTGCTGGAAATGATCAGAATCTGAGACAACTTCCCATGCCGTTAGTGTCCATCATATTTGATCTTGAATCCTTGGCTAGTTAAGTGCAAACCCACGCACCACACCGCTGGACAACACTTCATCGCGAGGCAACTGCGGCTAATACGCAGGCAATTATATCAATATATTGATTACATGAAACTATTCCCCTACAAATCACACTCCATTTCACGACAGTGTATGGCCAGACGCGAGTAGATTGCAACAACGTTACCATACGTGTTACCCAGTGTCCAGCACTTCGGAAGCGATGGACAAAGGTGCCAGGAAGCAGGGGCGGGGCGCGTGGCGTGGCGGCCAGCACTCGAACACGACGGCTGGCGTATGGTGGCGGCCAGCTCTGCCAACCGGCCATAGCCGCCATGGCCACCACTGGCCACGCATGGTATGATGGCTGACAGCCACCATATCATGGGTGGTATGGTATGATGGCTGACGGCCACCACACCATGGGTGGTATGGTATGATGGTTGACGGCCACCATACCATGGGTGGTACGGTATGATGGCTGACGGCCACCATACCATGGGTGGTATGGTATGATCGCTGACGGCCACCATACCGTGGGTGGTATGGTATGATGGCTGACGGCCACCATACCGTGGGTGGTATGGTTTGATGGCTGACGGCCACCATACCGTGGGTGGTATGGTATGATGGCTGACGGCCACCATACCATGGGTGGCATGGTATGATGGCTGACAGCCACTATACCATGACGCACATCCAGCTGGAGCGTTCAGCTGTTCTCCAGCGGCAAACCCCCGTTCTTGACCTCAGCGCACCGGTCCAGCGGGCTCCCAACACTAGCAGCGCTGTACCATGGGCAATGCCGCTGGTCGGCCCCCTGGCTTTCAGCGCGGACTCTATCAAAAAACGGCGCCACACTCCGCTCACCCAAGAAATAATGGACATGGCTAGCTGCCGAGCCGGGCACTCCCCGCTCTCTCTTTCTCCCTCTCTCCCTCGTCTCTCTCTCTCTCTCTCTCTCTCTCTCTCTCTCTCTCTCTCTCTCTCTCTCTCTCTCTCTCTCTCTCTCTCTCTCTCTCTCTCTCTCTCTCTCTCTCTCTCTCTCTCTCCGCACCATCCGAATCGACAACAATGGGAGCACCCCACATCCCCACAACTGCCAAAACGCCAACAATGAGAAAAGTTCATTTATTGACATAATATGCACAGAAGGATCAGCTAGCTGCAAAGTTCAAGATAGGAGCATGCACCCCCTCGCTGCCACTCCCTAACCCGGACCCTGGCGGCTCACAGTCGCACCACCTCTCCGCCACAGTCCCGGCGGCCGGCCCCGGCCCGCCGGCGGGCGCCAGCGCTGCCGCGGACACGGCCCGGCCCGGCGCGCTCCGACGGGGCTCGAGCCGGGGCTCAGGAGTGGGCCGCGCCCGACGAGCGGCGCAGCCGGGGGCTGTCGCGGCCACGGGCGGCGCCGCAACGCTGCAGAGACTAGGGTTCGAGGTTCGGTCTACGGCGACCGCGCTGTCGAGGATGGAGCCGCGTCGTCGCTATTGCTACCGCCGATGTAAAAATAAATACAAAACTCCGCAGTTACAAAAAGTGACGGCTTTACAATAAAACGCGTCCCCACTGAGCGGGGCCTGGCGGGTAACTGACACCAAGTGCTACATAATTGTCTCAACTGCCGCGGATCGCGACCGACAGCAGGGCCGCCCACCACCGCCCGGACTCGCGTGGCTCGCTAACAATTTGCACCAGCCGGCGCGCCGCACGGGAATAAACTTGAACAAGGTCGGCCCGAGGCTCCGTCAACACATCATCGGGGGGAAGACGCCAGGGGGAGGGCGCGGCTCAAAGCCGCCCTCATCGCGCGGCGCCCGCTTACTGGCCGGCGGGCGGCGGGCGTCGCGAAGCCGTCCGAGGGTGAAAGACCAGGGCACGGTAGGTGCGATAGGAAAGACGCGCCAGGCGCAGCACGAGCGCCCCGCCGGGAAACGGCCGCCGGCCGATTACAAAACGGACAGTCGGATTACAAAACAGAGTATTCACAATCACGGAGGGAGGAGCGCCCGCGGACGGTGCGCTCAGAGCGCGCGCGGGCGATACTGGCACGGGAAACGAATCTCCGACCGAAGTCGCACGGAGAAAATCTACCAAACAATGCTAACAAAAACATCCAGCGGCGAGCTGGTCTACTATTTGGTACAAACTCAAGAGATCATGCAGAAAAAAAAAACATGCGGCTACGATATACAGCATGCAAAATCAAACAAAGAACACAAGCAGAAAATACTTTGTGCAAAACTCGATTCTTTGCAATAAGTAAAGGCTTAAAGCGACAATACTGTAAGAGAAGCTTGACCTGAATGACTAGCTACGACAGGAAATGTTTCTCCTCTTTGGCAAAACCGGAGTCTGGCCGTCTGCGGGCGTTTCGAACGCCTCCCTACATATGTACAATGTGTTTAGAACACCACAATCGGGTCTAACATGACGGAGCTTGACGCCCGCTCGCAGGCAGGGTCAAACGCTCACTCGCCCAGAGGCGCCGACAGCGGCCGGTCGGCGCGGAAGGCCGCGTAGCACCGACCGCTGGTGGATATGCTCCTATTCTTCGCAGCTCCCCTGGCGGTCGCCGAGGTATCGGGCGCCGGCGGCCACCAGGTTCAGAACGGTCGCACCGCTAGATGGCAGCACTGAAGAGCCGCCAGACAGCGCACTATGCCAGGCGCGGCTCGGGTGCTTGCATAGGGCCCTTGGCGTAGGCGCTCTTGACGCCGGTTTTGCGCATCCACGACACCAGCCGCGGCAGAGTAATGTTGTATTTGCGGGACGCCTGGAGTGGGAGAGGCGCATCATCACTGAGCCGGCCATTACGTCATAACAGTGGCAGCGATCGCTTCGAACAGAGGGGCGCCATGGCTGAGTGGCTGGCGCCATCGGCTCCCACGTGCGGCGGCCGGGTTCGAAACCCCTGTTATACCGCGGCCACTTAGCACCCCTAACCACAGTGGCCGTTGACGCCCTCCGAAACGGCGCGCCAAGACGCGCATCGTATTCCTTTCGGCAAGGGAGTAAAACAGTGATGTAATGATGTAATGAGTGGGAGTAAAACAGTGATAACTGTCACTGCCGTGCCCTCTCACATTCGATGAAGCGAGGCCAGAGCACATTAGCAAACATGCCTAAACCTCCACACGCAGGGCCTATCTGAAGCCCAGTTATTTAAGCCTTCCACTGAATTTGGTCACTCCAACAGTGCTCTACACACACCGGATTTCACAGGACCACAATCTGTCCCGGCAGGTTTCCGACAGGGCGCCGGCGGCGACGGCAGCCCCGGCTGACCGCCAGCAGGGGCCGACAGGCCGGCGCCGGCGGCGCACCGTCCGGCCGGTGGGCAGCACTCACCTTTGACGCGGTGATGGTGCCGGAGCGGATCTCCTCCAGGGCGTCCCGCATCTCGGCGCTCATCACACCGCGGGGCTTCCGCTTCCCTGGCGGCCGAGGGACGGACGCACAGTGAGCAGAGGAGGAGCAGCAGCACCCAGGTAGGAGCGTGCGGGCGAGGGCGGAGGAGCAGTAGCACTCAGGATGGGAGGGAGCGCGCGGGGACGGGGGAGCAGTAACACTCAGGGTGGGAGGAAGTGGGCAGGGGGAGGAGCAGCAGCGCCCAGGGTGGGAAGGAGAGGACTGGGGGAGAAGCAGTAGCACTCAGGGTGGGAGGAGGCGGGCAGGGGGAGGAGCAGCATCGCCCAGGGTGAGAGCGATAGGGCAAGGGGAGGAGCAGCATCGCCCAGGGTGAGAGCGATAGGGCAAGGGGAGGAGCAGCAATGCCCAGGGTGGGAGGGAGAACAGGATGGGCAGCAGCGCCCAGGGTGGGAGGGAGAGTGCAGGGGGAGAGGCAGCAGCGCCCGGGGTGGGAGGGAGAGGGCAGAGGGAGGAGCACAAGCGCCCAGGGTGGGAGGGAGAGGGTAGGCATGGACGAGCACCAGCACACAGGGTGGGAGAGATCAGGCAGGAGCAGAATGGAAGACGCACCAGGTGGCGATTCTGTATTCAAGTCAAGCGATTCATTATCAATATTATTTTTAACTGCTGACGCACGTAAAAGACATGCTGCCAAAACACAACAGGGCGTCTACACAAAAATGCTTTCAAAACACGACCATGTTGAGCTTCACTAAGTTAAAAAAGGCCATCATCCATAATGCAATAGCTCATTCGCGCAGCCTTCTCGACAACTAAACAAGTTATACCCATCATATCGCATGCGTTTGTAGTGTTCAACACCAAAAACTCTGTAAGGTCAAAAACAAATAGAGACCTGATACCCCATGAATGAATGTAGCTGTGCCCCGTTGCCCGTGGGCGGAGACAGCGCGGCGGGGGGGGCGGGGCGGGGGCAGGGCAGGGGCAGGGGTAGGTAGGGTAGGGTAGGGGTAGGGGTAGGGGCAGGGGCAGGGGCAGGGGAGGGGCAGGGGTGGGACGGGGCGGGGCACGACAGACCTTCGCGGCGGGTCCCACGTACCTGCCATGCCGACGCGTCCGCGCGCCTTGACACCCTGGCGCCGCATGTTGACGTACAGCGTCGGAATGGGGATGTCGTACTGGATGGACGCCTCCGCCACGGTAATCAGGCCGGCCGAAATCTGCTGCAGCGCCGCCAGCACGTGCGGCGAGTCGGGCGTGTTGCGCTTCGACGTGCCTGCCGCACGGGGAGCCGAGGTCACTCATGTTACCAGCGCCGGGGTCACTGACAGCACCAAGACCGGGGCCACTCACGTCACGGCACCGGGGTCACTGACAGCACCAAGGCCGGGGCCACTAATGTCACCAGCGCCGGGGTCATGACAGCACCAAGACTGGGGCCACTCATGTCACAGCACCGGGGTCACTGACAGCACCAAGGCCGGGGCCACTCACGTCACGGCACCGGGGTCACTGACAGCACCAAGGCCGGGGCCACTAATGTCACCAGCGCCGGGGTCACTCATGTCACCAGCGCCGGGGTCACTCACATCACCAGCGCCGGGGTCACTCATGTCACCAGCGCCGGGGTCACTCACATCACCAGCGCCGGGGTCACTCACATCACCAGCGCCGGGGTCACTCATGTCACCAGCGCCAGGGTCACTCATGTTACCAGCGCCGGGGTCACTCACATCACCAGCGCCGGGGTCACTCACATCACCAGCGCCGGGGTCACTCAAATCACCAGCGCCGGGGTCACTCATGTCACCAGCGCCGGGGTCATCAGTCACCAGCGCCGGGGGTCAACAATCACCAGCGCCGGGGTCATCATGTTACCAGCGCCGGGGTCACTCATGTCACCAGCACCGGGGTCACTGACAGCACCAAGACCGGGGTCACCCATGTCACCAGCGCTGGGTCACTCATGTCACCAGCGCCGGGGTCACTCATGTCACCAGCGCCGGGGTCACTCATGTCACCAGCACCGGGTTCACTCATGTTACCAGCACCGGGGTCACTCATGTCACCAGCGCCGGAGTCACTAACAGCACCAGGACCGGGGTCACTCACGTCGCCAGCACCGGGGGTCATCATGTCACCAGCGCCGGGGTCACTCATGTCACCAGCGGGGGTTGATCATGTTGCCAGCGCCGGGGTCACTCATGTCACAGCACCGGGGTCACCGACAGCCAAGACCGGGGTCACTCACGTCACCAGCGCCGGGGGTCACTGACAGCACTAAGACCGGGGTCACTCATGTCACAAGCACCGGGGTCACTGACAGCATCAGGACCGGGGCCACTCATGCCACCAGTGCATACAGGCCGGCACAAGGAACGCTCATCAGCGTTCGTGTTTGCGCTGACATGGACAATGGCTGTCTTGCAACGCTTGTAAGCCGAGCAAAAGTGTCAGTCACGGTGATAACGGTGTACTGTGGTAGACGGACCCGGCACAGCCGTGGTGATCCGGCTTGGAGCCGCCAAGACACCGCGGAGCTCCACACGACGCTCCGCCGACCAGAAGCGATGCGCCAGTACATAATCCCTCAACGGTAACAGCCCGTGTGAGCTGCGAGACGCTAAATCGGGGCCCCCGGCATCCGTGCGCTTCGCGAAACCCTTCCGGTGGCGGCGCAATGCGCCAAGTTAGATACCGCACCAGCAGCGCCGTGCCAGTATTTTGTGAGCCGTAGCCGGCATGACGCGGCCGGTTTTCACCCTCGCCGCGCGGCAGCTATTCTGGCTGGAATCATTGGCAGGGGAGGAGGGGCGGGCACCCCTTCGCAAGCGTCCCCAAACTGAGCGAAGTCACGAAGCAGACACCCGGTGGAGAGCCCGGGCTCCAACGACGTCCGGTTTAACCCAGAGGCGAAACGGTGGCCATAGAGGCCACGTAAACATTGGAGCTTAAAACACAAAGTGGTACATTACATCTCTCGGGAATAAACAGCCCCATTTTCTAGCTGAGAGGGATGACAACTGCGTCGTGAATAAGACTGGGTGCGAAGAACTTGGCTTGGAACCACCTGAGGTCGGAGAGTGCCATCATTCGTCACTTATGTCGCTTGACTTTGAAAAGGTCATTGCTCCATCCAAAATGGCCCGCATGCTCGGTGATTCTCATTCGATTTTAATTAAGTACTCGCCACATCACTCCACGCCAACGATCCCTAAAACCATGTCATAAAAACGGTCTTGCACGCCTTCACAGACAGCATTGTATCCCGGGAAATGCAATGACCTGGGAATATTTTTCCCATGAGCAACAAAATATATGGCCAGCTTTGCTAACTTTCACGGCACGCCATTTATCAACTTTCCAACGCATCGACAATGCTATCTAGGGGAGGGAGAAGACATCCACCGGTCTTGACTGGCGGAGACTGATGATTAAAGACGCCGTTGCGCCGTTAAAGACGCTGTCACCACGAGGCCCAAAACCAGTACAATCCAGACAGCTCACACCCTAGCCAGCGACACTTGGCTAGTTTGAGAACCCAGGCCGGTACCATTTGTTGTCTCGTTAAGACGCCGCCAACGTGGCCCTGCCACTTTGAGGGCCCCCGCCGAGCGGCTCGAGCAGTTTGAGAGCCCCAGCGGGCGTGACTCAGCCGATCGGCCGGGGCTAAGCAAACAGATTCGGTCAAACCACGCGAGGGCGGCACACAAAAACAGCCAGCGCTGCACCTGTCGGACAAAGCGGGCCCGGCGGCGGGCGGGCGGGTAGACGGACGGACAGACAGGCCACACCGCCGGCCGACTGTGAGTCCGCGGCACGGCGAGAAGGCGCCGCGGCCGGCCGGCATCCAACTCCGCTGTTTACGGTCCAAACAACACTCATCGTGAGTTCCGCGATTCGACCTTTATACATACGTTGCATAGCGCGGCGGGTGACGCACGTGATGGCGCGGCTCCAGAACGAGGCAAAACACAAGCCCTCGATACCGACTCTACGCACCGCAGCGGCCTTATGCGTCGTTGCACACTGTCCACTGCTTCTCGCACCCCAGAGACAAGCTCTCCTGCAGCTGTACGGACACTCACCGAAGCCGGGCGGGTCGGCGATGCCAGGCAGGAAGAAGTGGCCGTTCTGGTAGGGCAGCAGAGGCGGCGGCGGCCGGCCAGCGCCCGACAGGACCTCGGGCGCGTCGCGCGGCGGCGCCAGCGCGCCATGTGGCGACGCCAGCGAGGGGTGTGGCGACGCCAGCGAGGCGTGTGGCGATGCCAGTGACACGTGTGGCGGCGCCATCGAGACGTGTGGCGGCGCCAGCGAGGCGTGTGGCGGCGCCAGCGAGGCGTGTGGCGACGCCATCGAGACGTGTGGCGACGCCATCGAGACATGAGGCGGCGCCAGGGAGGCACGCGGCGACGCGTCATGACGCTCCGGTGATGCCTCCCGGCCGAACTCGGCCAGCAACGCCGCCTGCCGGACAGCGTTGCGTCAGAGATGACCGCATCAGCGAGGCTCGCAGCAGTCGTCGAGACGACCATCAGATCTACCAAACCACGCCTGCCTTTTTGGTTTCAGCTTCTTGTGGTGGTTTGGGCTCAATAAAGGGGGACTCCAGACAAAGAAAAGAAGGACAAGTGTGGGGAAACATTGGAAGCACAATAATATCACATAAAGCTACCAAACTCCACTCAAACCTGCCAACATATACATGTAGGCCTTGACACATGCTGGGCTTGACGCGGGAGTCAGACTGACAACATGTAGCGGGTTGCATGTCGTTTTGTCTTGCGCGTCTTTAAACACTCGTAAAGCAATGTTCTAATCCACGTGACTAACGAAGCTATAAATGCTGTGCCGACGCATCAGCGTATTAAGGGTTCAGTAACTATCCCTATCACGGGAATGTCTCCAACGTAATCCATCGCTTCAAAGTAAAAATGCAAGACCTAAAACCCTGACAAAAGCTCGGGAGCCCAAAACATTCTGGTGATCTCGCAAAAGCACCGCAACCAGCGCGTCAAAATTACGTTCTAATGGCGTCAAGTTCACCTGTGCTTCACATCTTTGTCATATGAGCGTCACATAATGCAGTACGACCACCAACTGATGGTGATTTAAAAAGCAGGCAAAACACCTGGGCATTGGGATGGTCCCGAAGAAACCGAAGAATGATAAGTCATTTACGCCTTATAGCTAACCTCATCCACAACCTAGTGTTTACTCCTACGAGTGAATCAGGCAAACCCCTCCGGCTGTTACTCCATGATCTCCATCCACTTCTATCACGTCCCACAGCCACGACGAATCCGAACGACTGGACTCGAACAGAGCGTGCGACAACAGACCGAAGAGAAACCGTCACACTTCCTGAGCACAGTCGACACTTTCACCACACGTTCCGGCACCAGCGCCCCACGCCCAGTACCTCTCCCTAGCCGGAGCGACATATGAACCCCTCTCCCCGGCCGCGGGAGCCCGGGCCCTTCCCCGGGTCCGGGTGACGCCGACGGGTGACGCCGGCGCGGTCGGCTCATCGGCTCGCCTGTCGGCGGCCGGCAGCGGCGTGACTGGCCGGCCGGCCATGACGCGGCACATCGTGACCGAGAGCGGGCCGAGCGCGAGCGCGCGCGCTGCCCGCTCTTAGACGGCTTCCTGCCGGCTGACGACGCCAGCCAGACGGCCCGGCCGCCGACGCTCGGCCGCGCTGGCGCAGATGACGGGCGCCGACGCCGAGCACGGCGGCAGCCGGCGGACGACGTAGTGTCACCCGGCTCGGGCGACAGGGGACGCCCCGGGCGGGAGACGGCACCCTGCAGAGCCGCGGGCTCACGCGCGCAGCTCGCCGCTGTCAGAACCCTCGCCGGTCCGAGGTCACTGACCCCGAGACCGCTGCAGACTCGCCCCGATCGCCGCCCACCAGCGACCGGGCGCCGTTCGTCCGTCCCGACACTCACCGTGCCGGAGCCTGGCAGGGTCGGCATCGTCGGCAGCGTCGGCAGCGCCGGCAGCGTCGGCAGAGCCTGCTGCAGCGGCTGCAGCGGCTGCAGCGGCGGCGGCGGCGTGGCGATGACGGTGGGGCGCGGCTCGGACCGCGGCTCGCGCTCGGCCGGACGCGGCGAGCTGCGGCCGGCCTCCTCCTCCTCCGGCGGCTCGTCTTCCTTGTCCTCGCCGTCCTCGGAGTCCTCGTCGCCGTCCGACTTCACCAGACCTTTGATCTGGAGCCGTTCAGCCGCCTGGGGGCAAATACGCGCACATGTAATCGCTCTGTAATAGTGTTGACCAATCAATGACACCATCACTGGCAATGTTGAGCGGAGGGAAGTGATAAATCTGCAATTGCCGTGGCGCACAGCATTATTCGACAATTGCTTGTTTTTTTATACAATACGATTCACTGTCATAATACTCTCAAATTTGGCTTCAAGGCGGAATAATGGTAAGCTGGTGTATCTTAAAAAGTGGGTAAGCAGTTCAAGGGCCTCCTTGTCTCCCAGGAGTGTATGCAATATTTTAAAACGAGAGGGAGTGTCAAAATTGCCACAAAAACCCATTTTACCGCGCCACCGATGCACGATTTTCTTTGCACGGCGCGTAAAAAGGTAAGCTTTCAGCCCACCTATTTGCACGTGTCGACATCGATTATTAAAGTGGTGACATCAATTCACATGCATAATGATTTCACTGGTGATTTTCACATGCATAATGAATTCACATGATGACAATTCACTGGTATCTCCTCCGAATAGCACATCGCAGACTCAACATCGAGCGTGGCAACTATCCTGCAATTTTAGTTCACAAACGTACATGCATATTGTTTCATAAAATCGCGACAGAACTATCCACCAACTGGAATCATTGCTTTAACATGCAGCATACTTTCTAACTTTACGACGCTTTTTCCGCATAAATGCTCCTTGAAACCATCCATGAAATCAGAATTATCGCTGTAAAATTCATTCTGAGCCACTTCGGCACAGCTGCTCCAATCTGAGTGCATACCAGAAAAGCAGTTTGTGAAGAAGAATAAAGAACACTATGCTGAACTCGAAATATCTGGGGCGGCGCGCGCCATTCAACCTCAGTCCAACTTCGCAGCACTCCAACTATGGCCCATCCCGCCTTGATGCGCTCAGCGCAAGCTATTTTACGCTTTACGACCCCGCTGGGACATTACGTTTCCAGTTCCGACACGCCGCAGAACAAATTAAATTGTAGGACTCAAGCCCTCTGCACATGACGAGCTCCGCTATATTGGGAACCATGACATCACCGGCACATGGTGCGCGAGCGGCGACTGTGCGCCAGGGTGTGCGACGATGTACGGTGCCGGCTGTACAGCGACGGTGATGCACCGAGCGGATATTGTGCCGACTCATTACAGCAGTCGTCGAGACATCGCCTTGCCCTCGGGCAGAGTACCGGGACCAGGTGGAGAGGACACAGTGGACACAGCGGACGCAGAAGACACGCACAAAACACGGCAGGTGGCGGCAGCTACGCTGACGGCGCCGACGGCCAGCCGGCCCGTTCGCTCAATCAAGTCACGTGCTCTGTCCGCCCTCAATCAGTCTGGTCACGTCTCGCGGCACAATGCTGGAGCTGGCGAGTTACAACAAAACTTGTGGAACACGGAACAGCCTGCATCACAACCGCGCATCAGGACTCAATTCGCATCGTTTCCGACACATCTTGGGACAGTCCGGCGGCGTCTGCCAGTCTGCAATCGGCGGCGGCGGGTGGCGTGGACTCCACGTCCCAGCCGCACCAATCAGCCGCGTCCGAACCGGCGACCGGCTGCTGGGACTCCATCGCCTGACCACCGCCTCCACATCACACTGTAGGGCGCGCGCCAAACATCCGCACCGCGTATAAAGACACGGTCCTTCCGAGGCCGTCCTGCACAATGGACCACCGCGCACCGCCCGCCCGCAGGGACTGCACGGACGTCCCATCGGAATGCGCCAATCGGAGCGCCCCCCCCCCCCCCCCCCCCCCCCCCCCTCCTCCGACGCGCCATTATCCGGCGGCGGCGGCGGGGCGGCGGGTGAGGCGGGGGTGGCACCCCCGCTGACTGTCCCCGCCAGCCTGTCCGTCTCCCACGTCAGCCAGCGGCCCGCCACACACCCAGTCTCGCAGCCGTGCCTCGCCGCTCACAGTCACACTGTTGCGGCCTACAGGCGCAGATGCGCACATGAACACCATCTCGGAAGGAATACGGGGGTGGAGTTTGACAAGCTTTCGCCACGGGTCATAACCGCCCGCCAAAAGAAAGGGAAGGGACTCGCAAATTCGGAGAAGGTTGAGGCTAGGTCACGTGTGACTTCGATGACTACCCTGACAACTCTGACCCCACACGGTCATCTGGGGTTAATGAGGGGAACACCACTCCGCGTCCGAAATTCTGGCCTCAACATTACGTCGCGAATCCCCCAAAATCAACAGTGAGTTTGGTCGGTAGTATCACAGTCACTTGACATGCACATTGCACGATGCTTATGTTAATGACACATATACTTCAGTACTTTTGACATCCACCTTCCCAAGTATTTCTAACTGACTCGTGCAAATCAATGATAGGCAATAGTGTCCTGGCGCAGCCTCGTCCGGAATTAGCTGCTACCCGCGCTGCCATCCAAGGCGAAAAAGACTAAGCACCATCAGGTAAATCGTTCAAGAAAAACATTCTTCAGCTTAAGTGAACTACATATTGATACATGTCTTGCAACAAACCTTCAGCATTTTTTGGATGCCGATTTTTAAAACTTGTGAAATCTCATCAAAATATGCAGTTTTCCGTGACACATCAAATTATATACATAGCTCGAATTCTGAAGACACTGAAGCCTTTTTGCCTTTAGACTGCAGCATGGATTATGAAGGCCAAGCACGCACAGTACCAGGGTAAAACACACAGCGTGCGACACCTTTTGACATTCCAGATGATCATGTACAGATCTCCAAGATATCTCCATTAATTGCATCATCCATTTTTTTAAAGTGCTCTGCAACAACACTCACTTCACGACCAGGACGGATACACCTTTGCATAGCCTGGACATCAAACCCAGCATGAAGCAGCAGCCAGCACCTGGGTCCTGGCCTCGTCCAGATCAGCCGCCCTCACCTTCAGCAGGGCCTCCAGCTGCGCTTGGTCAATGGTGGCCTCGCCGCAGTACATGAACTCGATCAGGGTGCGCATCTCCAGCTCGGTGATCTCGCTCAGCATGACGATCGGCGTCTCCTTGGCCGGGATGTTCTGCGGCACGGGCGCGGTGTCACGCAGGTCGGCACGTCATGCACATGCTGGCCCCCTGCCACACAAGCCACAGTGCCCTGCACATACCAGCCATGTGCCAGGCAGGGTGGTATCACATGAAGATGCAGGCCACACACAGCCGAAATAGGTTTGCTAGTTCCCTTACAAGTGGATCCGACTGTCAAGCTTCACTTCTGCAAGATGGTGAAAATATAAAGGCTTGAGTAAGTGCTGGTGATTTTGAAGCAGTGGCTACCATATTCTGAGCTTTCCTCCTTTCTCCAATTAATTAATGTATCAATTAATTGAGCCTATCCAGTCCTGTCCATTGACCTGCTGGATTCAGTATAAGCATCGCTACTCACATAGAGCAAAGCAATTTTGGTCTAGAATAGTGCCGACATCCTTGCTACAATATTGAGAAAGCCTCAAACACCCCGAACAAAGTGTGCCAGACATGTGGATTTATGTGTCAGGAACTGCTCACACACAGCTTGGCTTTGATGTTGGCAGCTGGCCAAGAGTCAGGAAAGGCGGCAGGCACAAAATTACATTATATACCATGTTCAAAGTGCCCTGCAAATGTTGTCTATGGAACTGAAGCAGTTATCTTGGGTAAGTGCAGACCAGGTCTTTGCAACATGTCATAATCAGTGCACCCAAACCCAGAGTCATTTCTATAAAATATTCAGTCTCACTCCATTATGGCAACTTAAGGAAAACTCAAGTCACTTCAAATATAAGGAAAGACTCAGTGCATACAATAAGTGCACAAATCATGCCAAAATGCAATTCAATGTTACACTGTTCCTGGATATCATAGTGGTGCAAATATTGTGTGCGGCCAATGCATGCTACCTAGGTCATCTAATAAACAATGCACACATAAATAATATATTACATGTCCTGACAGAACTTCCATCCTGTGTTTGACAACAAAGCCATGCCATAAGGGACACCTCTTATGCATGCTACTTTTGTTAGTCACTTTCTGGGACAAGTGCTCCAAGCCTCCTGACCAAATAAAAAGAATGGTCAGCATTGGTGTTACTTTGCCAGTTTGTAATATTATCCAAACATACTCCAAGTACCTGAATTAAGAGATGGTGCAGGCACATACTATATTCCAATTCAGTAACAGATTTGAATGTCACCATGCATCATAGCAATAAGTATTCAATGCAGTTGATAGATTCAATTGTTGGATACAGCACAGAACATAATGGCATCCACATGCACATCCCATATTTTGTTTCTTTGAGCCACATTCCACTAGAAATCAAGCAGCAAATAATGATACTTAGATATTCCTGAATAAAGACTAAATAAGCATACCAAAAATATGGCCCAATATTTCCACTAGCAGCATGCAGTCATTACAAAATTCAGGAAAAAATGCAAGAAAATGTGTATGCTGAAACATCAAGCCAAGTTTCAGTGTATAATCATGAGTAGAGACTAGACCATGCAGCACATCTAACAAAACATTTGAAAAAATACATGCATGTGATAATGAAGTAACACGTCATTGCTTAAAAAAATAGGCTCTAAGTCCCTGCCAAATTTTGGTTCATAGTGTTGGCTAGTTAAGATACCAACACAATCAGTGATCATGTGCCCTAACACCTGGAAACAATCATAGCATACACTGTGTGCACAGAAATCTCCTGGCCAACATGTTTGACTTGATGTTCATGACTAGTCAAATATAAAAGATAGCCAACTCAGAAAGTAGGAACACATACTATGTATTTATAACATACATAAGCATGTAAACATATGAGCATTTTGCATACTACATTAGATAATTAAGCCTGGAGGTATCCAAAAGGCACAGTCAGGTAAAACATTACACTACTCACCTGTATAAAAAACAGCAACTCAGGTCTGATCAAAATCATCTACATTCTGATCAATACACATTCCAAAGCCACAATACACTTTGATGGACATCACAAAATAATGATGTGATGTTTTACCTGCAGAGTCTTCTCAAAGTAGGAGCTGCATGATGCAAGCACTATTCGATGTAGTTGAAATACTTGACCGTCACAAGCAACCATTACATCGCTGAACAAGTGACTACTTAATAGCTTCGTTAAGTAATTGTCCCAATTTCGCTGGTATTTGTTCCATTTCAGTGAGAACTGCTGAGTGGACCCCATAGTTCCGCTCTTCCGTAGATGCTCTGCAAGACAACGCAAAGACGACGTTTGAGAAGGCACGTGAAAAGACACGGACTTTCACGCACACCAAACACAAGCGTTACAGCTCAAGCGATTCACCTCCAAGAACATACAAGTCAAGACAAACTGTGGTCAATGACCCTAAATGAAATACCTTTCCCTATCAGGAACACACTACATTGGTCCCGGGGCGTTCACTCCAATCGCGTAAAAATAGCCCAAACAAAAGAGGGCATTGGACATGCAGGAGTACCAGAAAAATCGTATTGAAAAAGACGGCAGCACAAACCAAATTATTATCTTCTTCAGCAGCGTAAGGCATCTGCAGCTAAATTGTTAGATTGAAGCCTACAGTGAAATGAACATAAGCATCCACATTTCTGTGAAATGTACCGCCTATAAATATGCAATAACTTCTACTATGTTTGACACATCATTAACTCAATGAATGACCATTAATTTAATAGGCAAAAGCCTATTCTAAACACAATGTCAATAGCCCCCGTGAACACAATAGACATGAATGAACACTGGGAATCGAATGAAACCTATATGTTTACGCTTTCAAACCACCTTGACTTCAGACTCAAATAAGTGCAAACATACTGTGTGGGCCAAAACGATAGCACTGTACTTCGGATGGCGATCCTTCGGCGGTGACTATCAACGAATCACTGGATCTTTCAAACACGCCATATTTTGCGAGCGTGAATTGAATTATCCTGACATTTTACTTGCCCCGAATTTACTGATTTTTCAAATTTCAGGACATAACTGATGTCTACTGCGGAAGCTAAAAGAAGCACTCGAATACACACGACATGATTTCACGGATATTTGTGGCACAAAAAATTACTTAAATACATACTTCACGATATCATGGAGCAGCTGTGATTTCAATGGAATGTCTATCAGACCAGTTTACGGGTCAAAAGAGACCAGGTAGTCACGTTTTTGTTCATGTCAGGTTAAATATCCCGAAACAACTTGGTTCCTGTAAATTTTCGCACATGTCCATAGCACTTCCAGATTGTCCACACAAATGAAGCTTTAGGAAGTCCATCAAAACCTGATGGACATGAAAGTAAGTCCAATCGAGCTGTTGATGTACGTCCTGAAGGCGGCACGTCGACGATAAAAAACGTTCTCTCACAGGGCGTACGCACTCCCCACGTAGGTGAGAGGGCACAGTGTGCAGCTGTCTTGATAAACCGTGTTGACTGTCACGCAGGTTTTATCGAATACAGACATGTAGGGAATGCATACAACTCGTTTGATGGGCCATGCCGGGCCTGCACATCAGTGCAATCGGAAAGCTGCATGAAAAATGGTAAGGAAATCAATAATTCATTCGGGCGCAACAATTCAAAATTAGTGATGAATTTGACTTACTCATGCTATGTGGCATAGTAGGCCTTTGAAGGTAGACGACACCGGATGATTCGTTGTTAGTCACCCGATAAGGGATTGCCATCCGCAATATACTGACGTTATTGTAACCTTCTTGGTATTTTTACGCTTATATGAGTCTGATGTCAATGTGCTCTGCATAAAATCAAATATGAATCGACTTGGAGAAGGGTCAGAACTCAGTAAAGGAAAAAACTTGGGCAACGAATGCATCCTCGATCACTGCTAAGCCATTCTTTTCTATGATGCCGTTCAAGAAGCCCTATTTGCCATGGCTGGTTTTCTTTTCATTGTGGGGACTTCACCGGTGAGAAAGACGTCTTGGGGCGTATTCTGAGGGCAACTTTGAGCCATTTTCCCACCAATTCTCTCAATGTTAGCCTTTTTCAGATATAAGAGCAACATTAGTATCTGCCACGCACCTCTCGCCTTCCTAGCCACCGCAGTCGTCCATTCAACCACCGTAACATGCCTACTTCAGGTTGCCTAGAAGCTTCATGAACCTGGATCAAACATTCAGTTATTTAGTGCCACTGGAACGGGCATGCATTGCCTACTATGGCTAAGTTACCAGGCTAAGTGAGATAAAGACAAAAAAGACGCCGGATGGTGCGTTCGCGTACGCGCGTTTCAGAGTGGGGGAGGGGGCAGGCTCCACTTGTCCTGTGGAGAGCAGCTCCGGCGGCCGTAGGGGGGGGGGGGAGGGGGGTGGGGGAACGAAAGACTTTGTTCACTTTCACATGACACATTTTGGAGAAAGGAAAATGCCCCGGTGGCTATACTTTATATACACGTGCAACTGTTTTCGACTGTTTGAAAAATATTACCTACTCAACTCATCCATGGCGTTCGGCAAACAAGACTTCTCAGTTTCCTGAACTTACTTAGGCGTCTTAGCAATTTTCCAGTGAAGAGACACAATCATGCTACTGGCTAGGCATTTTGGTCCATTGGAAAGACCCCTGAATCCGCAGTTTACGTGTCAAAATAAGACCAATGCAAAGACTGGTCAGAATTTTTAAGTCGAGCCCATGGCCCCTACCGCCCCAATATTTTGTAAGTGCCATGATTCTGCCGATAACTTTTCAGGAGATGAGATTTCAAGCAAAATATTTCAAGCATTTGTCGCAGTATTATGGGCAGCAACAAATTGTAAACCTTCAAATATTGCCTGCCAAAAACAATGTGAAAAACATGAAAACGGGACTTCTCCTGCAACAAACAACTCACAGATATGAAGGTCCTTGTTTCGGATATGCCTTGTCTGAGCCACGCTGCCGTCCTGCGTCGGCGGCCACAGCCCAGACCCGGCCGCTCGTCAGCGACGGCCACCACCCACAACGCGACTGCGGAATAATTGTATGACTGCTTTGGTGCATGCTTATGGATCAGCACCACTACCTGTTGGTGTGTAGATTTCGAGAGCTGCCCGCCTCAGCTGTGAATTGGTCCACCGTGCGTTCACTTGCCCCCTTCAAAGTAAGCGACTTGAGCCGTTGTTGTAAGAAGCACAAAGGTAGGTACACACGTTTTTAAACATGTTGCGTACCTATATGTGTCGTCGGTCTTTTGCGTCGCCCGTATTTTAGGACAAGAGTTGACATTTCAGTTTTCATGCATTGCCAGCTTTTCATGCAACCTCCGTAAAACTATCACTAGCACGCTATTTGACTGAAAATTGTAATCGTTATTTGAAAGGCCTAATGAACTGCGGGCTGGACATTTTCTGTAATCACCATCATTACTTCTGTATTTCCCTGACGAGTATATGCCATTTTTAGGCATTTTATGAGACGGCTGAAATGCATGCTGATTAAACCACACTTTATGAGACGGGTGAAATGCATGCTGATTAAACCACAGAATACTTTGGATTGTGATTGTAAGCTTGATGTACAATTAAACGATCAAGACTGCTCATTAAGCCCAAGTCTGACATGCCAGGACTCATTGCACCAGCTCATTAGACTTCGGCCGCGTGCTTTTCAGTCGTTGGCAAGTTGCGGTTCAGTGGTCATTTGTCGGGGTATTACTCAAATAGTTTTATTTGTGCCGGTTCCCGCCGTCGTGTCCGGGTAGTTCAGGCTGCCGACCCCCCCCCCCCCCCCCCCCACCCCCCACGTGGCAGGCGCCTGGAGCTGAGTCCCAGGGGAGACTGACTGATCCAGCACATGCCAGTTGGTGGGGGGGGGGGGGGGGCGAAAGGGTCTCCACGATTATACGGCATGACGGCGCCAGTGTATTTGATGGCGCATGAAAGGCTCCTCCGAACGGTTTTAGGCAGTTTTTCCGCCAAAATTGACTTCATGTAGTCTGAAACAGTTATGCGTACACACTGCTTGGACTACGCCACACAAGAAAACCTAAGGAGTTTTTGAAGACATCTCATACGGTGCCACGTACCGTGGTAGCGCAGTACCACGCACCGCGACATGGCTGACATGGCTCAACACAGGCAGCACCCAAAGACAATACTGAAAGGTGACAAGCTTCTTCTTTCAAAACTTTACAAATGTGTGACTTACAAGTTTCACAGTTTGCCCGAGCCTAACTGTTGACACAGGGCGTCGAATCGTGTCATCAAAACAAACGCATTGGACGTGCAATGCATTCGCACTTTTGCACAATGCACTTGTGATTAATGTTGCTGCACAGCTTGCCCCTGCTCGACAAGCGCACCTGGTCATCCCCTGTTCCTGAAACCAAAACCGTTCAGAAATGTCTCCCGCAAACTCAAGGGATGAACATCGTTGTCAGCATCAGTGGTTGTTAGTTCCCCTGAAAGCTTGCTTTAAATAAATCGTGCATTTGAAACGGCTGAATGCCACGTGGCTGACGCGCGAAGAGTAAATATATTTCATTTTATCATATAATGCGCAAGCACAATGAACAACACTGCTGGTTGCCCAAAAACAAATATATAAACAGCTTCACAGCGTAAGATCTACCCGGTTTAGTCGAGGTTTGCTTGAAACGGCCGATATTCTCCCGGCGTTTCATAAAATGCCGAAATGACGCGTCGGTCAGGCGAAAAGTCATCATGGTGCCGACGGCAAACGCCCACGGATCACGGCATTTCCATTACTGCCTTAGCGAAGTAGCGGTAGTTTGCGAAGGTTGCAGGATGCGATGACATGATATGGAAACTTAGCTTTTGCTTGACAGGCTGGAATGCGTTAAACACTAATAAGGTATCCATATCAAAATACACAAACCATTGCTGAGGAGACCGTGAGCAGACAGGCAAAACAGTATGAAAAGACAAAACCAAGCCTTTAGTACAAGAGTACTTTTAGAGTTTGCCCCGAAATATCTCCCTTCGCCGTACACGGTACGATAAGATGCTGCTAGTTGTTGTCCAGGCGCGGTTTGATGGCTCGTGAGCTCGATAAAGGGGGCCGAAAACTGCAATGTGGGAGGGGAGCTGAGGTCAACATCGTTGCCTGCTGCCCCTCACTTAAAAATTGGGGGATGGTCCCCTTGCCTCACCCTCCACACCTACTCTTTCGCCCATGAGGCAGCTGAAAACATCTCATCTCACACTGTTTTTGCCTAATATTAAATGTATTGCCCTTAAGCGAAATTCATTGCCTCCCAAAATTCAAGTCTCTCTCCGCTCCTGGTCGTAATGGAGATATCACCCTCTGGTGCATCTAAAAAAAAAAAACGGATTAAAACAAGAATTGACGCGAGCCGATCCGGGGTTCTTCGCATGCATGTATTTGTTCATGAACAAGCATTCCATACAAACCTGGTGACTTAGAGTGCTCGCCATGCACCGCAGATCTGCTACTCAGTGACAGCAGTGTCGAACAACATGTCACACCTTACGATGTCAGCAGATAAACCACGCATTACGAGCATGAATTGTCTTTCGCTTAATTGTGCCGCAGTGATCACGTAGGGAACGACCTCAAGGGCTGGATCGTGTGTCACAGGGTCACAGCTCGTGGCAAAACATCCCACTCTCGTTTACATGCACCTATGTATTGGGACGCCCTTTTCCTGCGCTCAATGCGGCACGGAAACAGCTGCAAACTGCAGGTCGTGAGCACTCATGAAGTTGTCATTACGTCAATGTTTAAATGTTTTGGTCCGATTACCAGGAACGTTTTGAAAAGCGCGGACACATAAATGTTCACGCCTTTAAATCGCATTTATGACGTGCTTTAGTGGGCATGCAGCTAATGCGAGCAATTCGGTTGTCCATGGCAGTCGCTTGAGGCACCCGCTCCTCGCGAATTTTCACGTCGTGGCAACTTACAACAAATAAAAAACAAGGCAGTTCTTTAAGTAACAAACAATGCTCACGTGCGTAGCAAATCTTTCTCCACCTGCGCACCGTGAGGTCTCTAGCACTAATCGCACTAGCATAGACTTTTAAACTTGGATCGTTAGTCCAGGCCACGTTAAGGTCGTGCAAACCGCTCCATCGAATGTTGGCATTGACCTGTTTGCGCGGTTTGTCATCTACAAACGGGAGTTTCAAACGCATCGGTTTGTCTGCCTTACATTTGTACATTTTCTCCGCGAACTTAATGTAGCGTTAAATCGAGAACGTGCAGCACGAGCAGCAGACCTCACCCGGAGCTTTAAGTGTCCATTTCCGCGGACAAGGATGAACAGTTTGATTAGAATACGCTCATAGGACTGTGGATCAGGCAATGCACGCACTATTCTGTGCATTTGTGATCAAGGAGCTGCTTTCTTAGAAGCCATGGGATGTGCCAAATTGCAACGCGATTTCATGGGAGAGTCCAGGGCTTTAAAGTAGAGCTCTGTGGTATCACATTTCTGTGCTACTATTTTCACTCATGGCTATAAGCAAACTTAAAACCTTGATTATTGATCATCCTTCTCGATAGCATCGCTTTATTAGCACCTTCCAGTATTACGAAGGTCGATAACTACCAGCATGATAGATTTACATTCGCAACGCCGAAACAACGGAAACTCAAAGCCTTGCTTGCTTATGTAAAGGACAAAAAAGAGCCTAGATTTAACTCCCGAACATACACGAACGACTTCCTCCCAAATATGTTGTCGCCTTCTTAACCAAGTTAAGCAGGGGGCTAGAGCCCCTTGAATTTAATGGGCAACTACCCACCTAAGTAGATGCCCAGGCAAAATGACGATATTGAGTCACCCAGCGACATAACGTACTGATCTTGAGCTGATCTGAACAAAATTATCAATAGTACCCAGGGTTTCAGGATGCCGTTTTATTTTTGGGGCACGCAAAGAACATGACGAGCTTTGTCTTGTCGTTGTCTTCGTCTAAGTTAGTTGCATCTAGCCGTATTTCGGTACGATGGCTAGCGACCCCACACTGACGGCTAGCCGGCAAGCCCATTTAGAGGTCACTTGATGGCTGATGAGTGACGCAGGGCCTCAAAGTTAAACTGAACTGTTTGGGGTATTAGCTGTTGGGGATCATAGCAACTACGATGCGCCCTAAGAAAATGAATGTTTTTATGCCCCACTTTTTATTGGCTACCCAATTCTTAGGTATTCCCCTCTTTTATTCAGTCATTATCCGATGAGATAAACCCAACGCATACGTATCTTAAAACCACATAATAGCTTACACATGGCGACAAAAGCTAAGAGATAGAGCTTACGTAATCATTTTAGCACCTGTGCAAATTTGCAATCGGGACCGAATGGCTAAAGGGAGTGTTTCACGTTTGAAGACATTAAAGCAAGCATAAGATATGATGAAACGAGATCACTTATTATTATTGGTACGCTTTCTGAGTGAAAAAAACTGCTCCAGACAGCCCAGTTTTCTGTTTAGCAAATATGCTCGTCAGTGTGTCATGGTTTGATTACGTCATCGTGCCTTGCACAACATTAGTTTAAAGCCAGTTGACGGCTGCTATGTCTGGAAATCGCGCTAACGAACGTCAGATATGAACACCTCGACAGTATGTTCTTGGCCTTGATCACCGCATGAGTTATGGAATCGCAGGATATGAATGACGTTATTATGACGTCATGAATGCCAAGGTAGTTTTGAAATAGTCTCCCCCACATACCTTTCCCCATTTTCGCAGGCATGTAGCCCAGAAACTGGAGGAGTTTATGTCTTAGAAGAAGGGCTGGATTGTGAACAGCACCGAAATGTCTTCAAGATGTCTATTAGAGGTTCCAATCCGTGTAAATACTCTTTGCACAGGTCCCCGATCTGCTCACTCCTCTGGCATGCAAAATGCATACTGTCTTGGCAGAACTGCACAGCAGCATTAGTGCTTTTCGCAACATACCTTATCCTGTTCAGTTTCAGTTGGGAGGCCGCGCCCCTCCTCCCGGTCTGAAAGTCGGGCGGAGGGGGAAGCTGCCCCTCAGTCCCCCTTGTCCTACGCCTATACCCATCGCGCATGGACAGCACGTTATCTGTACTCTGTCTTGGTGGTATGTCCACAGCCGGTATGGCAATATGCTTGAAAATTCAGGCCGTGAACGGACATGTAAATAACATGCGTTGTTGAACAGCGTGCACAGTGTCTTCTTTGGACAACTATCGTGTGAGACCAAGGGCGCTGTCAGAATTTGCAGCAGGAGAGCCATCATAATTTGCACGGTGGGAGGAGGGAGGCGTTTTTCTCGTCCTTCTCTCCATCTCTCAACCTCCACCGGTCTGACCGCCAATGACCATGTCCCAGCCAACTGAGTCACAAAGTCATGTCCGTGCATGCCCCGCACGTCTTTGTTCTAGCCGCCTTTGAATTGCTTTGTCTGTACGTGTTACATAACAACCCCCATCGGGACGGTGTGCGTCACTTGAAGTACTTTGTGTCTATGTGCCACATTCTCCAATATCATTATCTCCGGTGCCCCACCTCGTGTGTTTTTCCTTCCTTCTGAGTCAACTCCATGTGTATCCGTAAGTATGCTCCTTGCCATACATGCGCACACCTCTCGTCTGTGTGGACTCATCCACATCCGTTTACATTCACACCTTTCTGCGTCTCCTGATTGCTGTTTGGCCTGATTTGCTGTGTCGTAGCCAGCCGTTTTTCTGCCATACTCCCAATTTCTTTTCCGCAAATGTTTGCCACTGGACTACGTACTTGCCTGTCGTTTGTCGTTTGTCTGACGTGCTTGTCCTTTGTCTCCTGCAAATATGCGCCCACTCGAGTGTGACCTCTTTGCCTGCCGTTTGCTCGCTGTCTTTGCCATTTGTCCCTTGCAAATCGTTGTCCACCCCATTGTGTCCTGCGAATGCATGCGGTTTGTGGTTCGTTTGTGTTGTGTCCGTTTGCGTCCTGCCTGTCTACCATATCGGAAGGAAGCCAGGGTCCGTCGCTGCTGTCCTGTCCAATCGCATTCACGCTACCGTTTTTGTTCAGCATTTTTCGTGAAAGTGAATGAGTGCTGACAGGATTGAGGCAATATCATGCGAAATAATCATATTTCACATATAGGTTGCAAATAACCATC